AAGTTAATCCCAAAATATTTGACGTTATTGGGTGCTACAGGCATACACAATAATGTATTGCAACGCAGAATCTTCCAACTTCTGTTGCAACTTGAGATGCTCTTCCTCGTATATAGTACATTGTGCATCAATCATCAATATTTCAATTAAATTACACGATCCAGAACAATTTTAGGAGACTAAATTTTAGACAAGATTGCACCAGAAATGTCACGGAACTCAATAAACTGATAGTTCGGGAACGAATAAGCTTTGGCCGAGTTTTTCTATTGCAACCTCATTTTGGCAAAAATCTTATCTTACCCAAGAAATAAACAGTTCACTAGACTAACACTGGTGCTCGTACAGCAAACAACATCACTAATAATTTATCCAATACATGAAGAAACAGAAAACTGTTCAAAAATAAATAAATGAAGCATTTTTTCTTAGGAATACGAAAACTACCTCCATGAAGCTCTTATAAATCACAAGAAACAATCGGTGCACATCTGGATGCTCTTCATCCACTTGAAGCTCCTTCGCTATGATCTCCTTACCAAAATGCTACACATTAAAAATGGAAATAAGTTACCTTCTTACGCAAAAAGTAGCTCATAATTATCATAGACTCTGCAAAGATATGAGTTTCACATATTCCAGAAACTTGCAGATATGAGATGTAAAGAGCTCAAACTAAATGAAGGGACTTCAGAAGTACATAGTGAACTTCGATTTCTAAACTATATGACAATTGACAAGAAGTGAAGGCGAGTGTCCAACATTAAATGTTACCATACAAACAAGGCCAGCACTATTGAGCTTAGTATTAAACCATATGCCCAAATGCAAAGATATAGGTCTCACATATTCCCAAAAAATTGCACATATAAAACATCTCGAGCTCAACCTAAATGAAGGGTGGCTGATACCAAAAGAAAATGAAAACTAGAAATCCATAATTGAAGGCAAAAGTCCAACACTAAACGTTACCTTATAAACAAGACCAGCACTACTGAGCTTAGTACTAAACCCATGCCCAAAAACCTCTTCAAAACCCTTCTGATGATGGTCGTACCTATCTCTTGTGGGATCGTAAACCCCACCCACATCAAGCACAGCATCAAGGCCTTCCAGCACCTGATAAACAGTTCAAAGGCACATTTCATCAAACACAACACCTACATACAAAAACAACAAATATGGGTTCATATTTCTCCAGCCAATGCATCCAGGGGATGATAGTATGACCTGCGGGTCACGCGTGCGGACGATCTGAGCGTCTGAGAACTTCTTGGTGAGGCGAATCATGAAGCAGCCGAGGGCTTCATCGCAGTGGAAGCTCCCGTTGTGGGTGCCCACGCGCTTGACGGCGGCAGCTGTGGACATGGCTAGGAGAGCAGTATGGTGGTGGAATGAGGTTTTCGGGAAGGGTTTGAAGTTGAGAAGATGGTGGTGGCTGCCGATGAAGGTTTTTGAAAATGCTTTGAACATGTTGCCTGCTCGGAAAAGAAAATGCGTGTTTATTAGAGGATAATTCGGTTCAGCTTCCGGTCTTGTACCATTATTGCCTCTGTGGATCGGGTCGGGTTAGATCCGAAGATTGAGCTTAGAAGTTAGAACTATGCCATTCAAATTGGGCGCTATTCACATTCCACACCCGATTCAATCTGATTCGTAAAAGATCGATCTTGGCTCAGTCGTTTACTTAAAACAAGTTGAGTTGAACTTACTCGCGAAGGACTCAGTTTCTTTTTTATATGTTTTCAACGAAAGAACTCGTTTTTATTTTAAACTTATTAAAACGAGTTGAATCGTGTTGAATTTTCACGAGTTTAAACAAGGTGACTTGTTTATTAAAGAGTTGAGTTCCACGACCCAGGATCGTAATTTGGCTGAAACCCAAGCTTCCATTTTTTGAATGTGCACGAACTCAAGTATGTGCAACTTAGTTCGGCTCAGCTCGTGAATTATATTTTTTTTAATGTTACATTTTCTCATAACTTCCAATAAAGTTTGGTACAAAAGGGACTAACAAACAAGATACAATTTGGTTGAGGAATCAACAACATCTCCCTTCGACCTCTTACCTTAACTTTCTCGACAAAAGAAAAAAAAATGTAGAAGTTTGTCTCTCTCCCTCCTCCTCTCTCTCTCTCTCGCCGATCTCCGCCCCTATCATTCTAGTACTACCTAGAGCCAGGTCCTAGAGTTTGGTGGCTGACTGGGGCCAACACAATGTTTCCAGCGGCTGGCCAAGATGACTAGTTTCGTGGCTGATCTCTCGCCTGCGCTTTGGATCATGGTTTTTTAGGTACATATTCAGTTCTTTGTTCGATATATCTAGCCATTTGGATTTAATTTGAGTTTTGAGATTTGAGGACTTGTGGTATGTGGATTTTAATTTCATCATTAGATTAGGTGATGTTTTGTTTTTTATAGTTTTTTTTTTTTTTTTTTTT